TACCCTTTCAGAAAATCCGACTTTTCGCTTTTTATTTCGTTTTCAAAATAAGTCTCACTTTTTGGGGAAGAAAAAAATAAACTCGACACACAAAGTTTTTCCTCTTGTATTTTCCATTCTTTGTGGGGGGAGAAGGGAAGGGAGAGAGGGAGAGGGGGGAGGGGAGAGGGGGAGAGAGTTCACTGGGATGACCTGGATCGAATGTTTAAATACTGACATGGTTCTCGATTCACAATGTTCACAGAATGTCTCTTGCCTCGTTCATTCGCTTTCCCTTGTGTCACTCTCGCACTCACTCTCTCATTGGACGTGACGCAGGCGGACGTACAGCTTCCTTTTCTCATAAGAACTAAAAAAAAAGTCTTTGGTAAAATAGTTGTCTATAGTAGGAAAATTAACTTTTTTTTTCTGTTCAGACAGTTTATCTTTCTTCTTCTCGTTTTCAACTAACTCTTTCCTCTTTTATTTTCGGTCTGAATGAAAATATTGTCTCTGAACTCTTAACGTGTGTATTTCTTACAGTTATACAAGTCATACAGTAATTCTCTTGATTAAATATATTCATATCCGACATCTCTAAGACATCGGGTATACTCTATAAGTATTTTTATAGATTTTTTTTTATTTTTTTTATTTTTTTTAATATCAATACTTTTTGAAGGGTAAAAGTATACACGAAGCCACGTGTTTGTACAATGGACTAGCAGAGTGGGTAACTACTAGGTGGGGCTTTCAGGACTAGTTTACAGTGAACAGTGAACGGTGACTGGATGGCTATTGGTCCTCTCATACCGGCAAGAGTTCATAGTTTGTTCGTCGGATATCGGATACGACATCTACTGGGCGTGTCTGAAACCATTTTCGTTTCTCTACGACAGGACTTTCAGGTCCGGAAATACACGAATACGCGATAAAGAGATGTCTTTCGAGTTTATTTTTTTCTTTTCTCTCTCTCTCTCTCTTTATTCGTCCCTCAGTTTGATTTTCCCATTTAATGAGTTTTTTTTTTCTCTCACATTTTTGTTTTTTCTATAAGTACTTATTCATCTTTCACATTTGTTTTTTTTCTTTCTTTCTTTTTTACATATATACACTACGAAAGTCATTCCGCGGAAGTCACTGTCTCCCGCGAAAAGAAATCCGTTGATCCCAAAATCCTCGTGCAATTGCCCATGCAACGTGGCATTTCGTCTCTCCCGAAGTCACGCGTAATATGTACAGGTTTGGCGTCAGGGCGACTCGCGGCGCTGACTCTCGAGGCCGAAGGACCACGGGCGTCGGTCTCTCCTTCAGCTCGTGGGCGCGGTGGGCATCCTCTCTCCTCACGGGCGTGGAGCGAAGGGCGTGCGACCCTCCTTCCCCCCTGCCTCTCACGGGCGTGGGGGCGAGGGCGTGTGGGGGGCGGGGCGGCCCACCAAGCCGCCGCCGCCGCTCGCCGATCCGCCGCCCACCGCCGAGCTGCTGGACACGGGCGCGGGCGTGGGCGAGGAGGCCGCGCTGTGGGCGTGGGCGTGGGGCGGCAGGAGGGAGGAGGTGAGGGAGGAGAGGGACGACGAGAGGGACGAGAGGGACGCGGGGGAGAGGGCGGAGAGCTGCGGGAGGTGCGGGAGGGACGCCAGGGCCGGATTCGCCCCGCCGGAGTGAGGAGGGGGGCATAGGTAGGGGTAGTAGCAGTAGGGGGGGATGCCCAGGGAGCCCAGCGAGCCGAGGGAGCCGAGGGAGCTGAGGGTGCTGAGGGTGCTGAGCGAGGGGAGGAGGAGAGGGGGGCGGGGGAGGCCCTCCTCAGGCCCCAGAAGCAGCTGGTCGTCTCGCATCAGCACCTGAGGGAAGACGGAGGTCAGTCAGGGGCGCGGGGGGGGGGGGGGGGATGTCGTGAGGGGGCGTCAAGGAGTTGTATGTGTGTGTTGGGGGGGGGGTGATGCCTGAAGGGTGAGCTCATGCCAATGTGAAAGCGACGTCATGAAGATGTGATGGTGATGTCAGGGACGTGTGCTGCTCTGATGGTAAGTCATAGTGACGTGCCCTGCCATTATGACGTGTTGTTTATATTTCCATGACACGATGATATTGCAACGAACTCAGTAGTGATATGGTGATGATGTAACGATATCGTAATTAGGTGAAAAATATAATTATAAAAAAAGGTCAATCAAAATAATACAATTTTCACAAAGAAATAAGATTAGTTAGAATGAGATAAAAACTGTCCCCACACAACCATACACAGTCAAAAACATCCCCTACATTAACTAATTAAATTCCTACAAAAACGGCATAACCAGAAAAAAAAAAATATCAAAGAGAGAGAGAGAGAGAGAGAGAGAGAGAGAGAGAGAGAGAGAGAGAGAGAGAGAGAGAGAGAGAGAGAGAGGAAGAGAGAGAGAGAGAGAGAGAGAGAGAGAGAGAGAGAGAGAGAGAGAGAGAGAGAGAGAGAGAGAGAGTGAAAGAGAGAGAGAGAAAAAAAATACACGGTCCACACACACGCACCCATGCATACACACACACGCGCGCGAGCACACAATTACGTACACACGCGGTACCTCACCCCCCCCACCCTCCTCACACCCCCTTCCACCCCCTCCCTGCAAAACAGCTGTTGGCGTAGCGCGACGGCCAGCGCAGCAACCTCGCTGTGATCTGTGATTTTTTTTCATCAGGAGTCTTCGAAAGGGTCATGCGATCGTCATGGACGGTGGGTCTGGTGAGGGACAAGAGGAGTGGGGGAGAGCGAGGGTGAGGGAGAGGAGAGGGAGGGTGAGGCAGAGGAGAGGGAGGGTGAGGGAGAGAAGAGGGAAGGTGAGGGAGAGAAGAGGGAGGGAGAGGGAGAGGCAGAGGAGAGCGAGGGTGAGGGAGAGAAAAGGGAGGGCGAGGGAGAGCCAGAGAAGTGGGAAGGGCAGAGGAGAGGGAGGGTGAGGGACAAGAGGAGCGGGGGAGAGCGAGGGTGAGGGAGGGATGTGGGTGGTTGAGGGAGAAGGATCTATCTATCTATCTATCTATCTGTCTATCTATCAGTCTATCTACACACATACACACTAATATATATATATATATATATATATATATATATATATATATATATATATATATATATATATACATATATAAACACACACACACACAGACACACACACACACACACGCACCCCCCCTCTCCCCTCCCCCCGGCATGACACCCCTATGACTCTCACCTTGACAGCAACTCGGCGGCCGGAGGAGGGCGGTTCACACGCTGACAGCTGCTTCCTCTTGGTCTTGTAGCGGCGGTTCTGGAACCAGATCTTGACCTGCAGAGACGCACGAGAGAGAAAGAGGGGAACGTTAGCTTAGAATGGCGGGTTTTGAGGACTGGAATTAATCATGTGGTCGGAGGGACAGAATAAGAGATAGATAGATAGATGGATAAATGGATGGAGAGAGAGAGAGAGAGAGAGAGAGAGAGAGAGAGAGAGAGAGAGAGAGAGAAAGAGAGAAAGAGAGAAAGAGAGAGAGAGAGAGAGAGAGAGAGAGAGAGAGAGAGAGAGAGAGAGAGAGAGAGAAAGAGAGAAAGAGAGAGAGAGAGAGAGAGAGAGAGAGAGAGAGAGAGAGAGAGAGAGAGAGAGAGAGAGAGAGAGAGAGAGAGAGAGGATGAGAGATGAATATATATATATATATATATATATATATATATATATATATATATATATATATATATATATATATATATATATATATAATTGTATATATAAATATATATAATTGTATATATATATATATATATATATATATATATATATATATATATATATATGTATATATATATATATATATATATATATATATATATATATATATATATATATATATATATATATATATATATATATATATATATATATATATATATATAAATATATATATATATATAATGAAATAGAGAGAGAGAGGGAGAAAGATAAAGAGAGGGAGATGATGAAATAGCAAAGAAAAGAATTCGGGAAAAGCCAAGCTCTTTTCTCGCCGCCGACGACCAGCTTAATCTCCGACATGCGAAAGTGACATTATACCTTTTATTAGACATCTAAGGCAAGAGAAGTCCAAGAAAAACGAAGAGAGAGAGAGAGAGAGAGAGAGAGAGAGAGAGAGAGAGAGAGAGAGAGAGAGAGAGAGAGAGAGAGAGAGAGAGAGAGAGAGAGAGAGAGAGAAGAGAGAGAGAGAGAGAGAGAGAGAGAGAGAGAGAGAGAGAGAGAGAGAGAGAGAGAGGAGAGAGAGAGAGAGAGAGAGAGAGAGAGAGAGAGAGAGAGAGAGAGAGAGAGAGAGAGAGAGAGAGAGAGAGAGAGAGAGAGAGAGAGAGAGAGAGAGAGAGAGAGAGAGAGAGAGAGAGAGAGAGAGAGAGAGAGAGAGAGAGAGAGAGAGAGAGAGAGAGAGCAAGAGAGAGAGTGAGGGAGAGAGAAAGAGAGATTATAACAAGCACAGAAAACCAAAACCAAAACAGAAAGGGACATAAAAAGGAAGGAAATACTCTATGTTATAATTATCACGACGTGAAAACATAAACGCAGGTGATTTTGATACGAAAATAATACGAGGAACACATTCAAATGATAGGAACATAACAGAGGATAAAATGGCATTCGTAATTAAAAAAAAGAGCAAGAGTTCTTCTCCAGAAATAGAAATAATAGTGGGGGGAGGATGGAGGGAGGGAGGGAGGGGAAGGATGGATGGAGGGAGGGGAGGGAGGGAGAGAGGGAGGGAGGGGAAGGATGATGGAGGCAGAGAGGGAGGGGGAGGATGGAGGAAGGGAGGGAGGGAGGGGAAGGATGGAGGGAGGGGGAGGATGGAGGCAGAGAGGGAGGGGGGGGGGGTGAGAGAGGGAGGGAGGGAAGGGGGGATTTCAACTCCACAAAGTGCTTAATCTGTTATATGCAAACGGTTTTGTGATATTTACTTTGCCTGTTTTTTCTAATACTCGTTTTGTTGCATAATATGATTTCATTATGCTGCTGCTGTGTACTGTGCAAATACAGATCTCTCATCGGCCTAGTTGTCTTTACTTTGTAAATGCATATTTTAGTATATGTTGTTATGATAGCTTACAATTGTTGCGGTATGAAAGAAATACTTTAGGCAATAATATGAAGGGAAGTATGAACAGATACAAATATTTTTCTCTTTTATTATCATTACTATTATTTATTATACATCTATCTATCTATCTATCTATCTATCTATCTATATATATATACATACATACATACATACATACTATATATATATATATATATGTATATATATATATATATATATATATATATATATATATATATATATATATATATATATATATATATATATATATATATATAGAGAGAGAGAGAGAGAGAGAGAGAGAGAGAGAGAGAGAGAGAGACAGAAAGAGACAGAAAAAAATATATATACGCACGTGCATAAACCAACAAAAATGAATCAAATGGAGAAGAGACGAGAAATCGGAAAACAGAAGATATAATGATAAATCAAAATATGAGACCTTAATAAAAGAAATAAAAAATGCGAGAAATTACACTTTAAGAAATGCCCTCCCCCCAATAAAAAAGTAAATAAAGTACATCAAAAAATAAAATAAAACAGATCCAGAATCCCAAACCAAAATCAACCATATAAACCGACGAACAAACAGACAAACCAACGCTCTAACATCAAACCCTATAAAAAAAATAACCATTGTATTTAATGGAATAAAGTATTTGAATTTGAATTTGAAAACGAACCCACCTGCTGTTCCGTCAGTTTGAGCGCCTGAGCCAAGTCCGCGCGCTCGGGGCCGGAGAGGTAGCGCTGGTGGGCGAAACGGCGCTCCAGCTCGAACACTTGGGCGTGACTGAAGGCGGCGCGACACCTCTTCTTCCGAGGGGCGCGCTCTCCTTCGCCGCCTTCGCCTGCGGGCAAGATGGGCGCTCGTGAGAGGTCAAGAAGGGGTAGGGGGTAGGGGGTAGGGGGGAGGAAATCGGTGTCTGTGGTTTTGTTTGTTTCTGTTCGTTTGATTTGTTGGTGGTGAGGTTAGAGTTTATTTTAAGGCGTCGCTTTTGTTGTCTTTCATTATCTGTTAATATTATCACCGTCATTATTTATATGCTTACTCTTCTCATGACTATTGATATCACTATCATCATTATTATTATCATTATTATTATTGTCATTATGATTATTATCATTATTATTTTTGTTATTGTTATTATTATTTTTATTATTAGTAGTAGTAGTAATGTTATTGTTATTATTATCATTATTATTATTATTATTATTATCATTATTATTATTATCATTACTATTATTATTATTATTATCATTATTATTATTATTATTATTATTATTATTATTATTATTATTATTATTATCATTATTATTATATATATACTATTATCATTATTATTATATATATACTATTATCATCATGATGATATTTTTATCATCATTATCATTAACATTATTATCATTATCATTGATATCATGAACATTGCTATTGCCATTGCTAATCATTATCATCGTTGTCATTATTATTAACATTATCAGCATTACTATCATTATTATCATTATTATCAATTATATCATAAGCACCATTAACAAGATACTGCACTGACTCATTAAATCCTGTAATCGCCTCGTCCAAAAACCTCGACGTGAAAACCACCTTAATGACGTGGATAAAGGGATTTCACGAGGATTACTGTGGATTTGTGGATTTATGTTCGCGCTGAAGGACAAGGGGGTGTTTTTGTTTTCCTATGTGTTTGTCTGTCCATGCGTGCGTATGTTTGCTAGTGTGTTTTTTTTCAGGTCTGGTAAATGTTAAGAGACACAGATTCATACAAGAAACAAACGAGAAATTCTAATAAAAAAAATTCTAAAGACGTGAACGATGAAACCAGTTATGATAGTATTTGTAAAGACAATAGGGAACATAATGATGGTGATAATGATAATAATGATGATATTAGTAATGATAATTATGATGATAATAGTAATGATAATAATAAATATCTAAAAAACGTGAATGATGAAACCAGTTATGATAGCATTCATAATGACAATAGGGAACATAATGATAGTGATAATGATAATAAGGATGATATTAGAAATGATAATTATGACGACAATAGTAATGATAATTATGGTGCTATTAGTAATGACAATAATATCGGAGTCGCTGTCCCATAAAAATATATTCTCTAGTCAAAGAAAAGTTATGAACTTTTCCATTTGAAGAAACACTTTGCCGATGAAATTATAATTGGAATATGAGTAAGAAAATGGGATATATATAGACATACTTATCTATCTATCTATCTATCTATATATACACACATCTATATACATACACATGTGTGTCTTTTTTTTTCTCTCGCTCTCTTTCTCTCTCTCTCCCCTGTACATAACATACATATATATATCCCTCCCCTTCTTTCCCTCTCCCTTCCCCTCTCTCTCTCCCCTCATCCGTGTGATATTATAATAAAACGTAATGATGATAAGCCGTTAACTACATTGTCATAGAAGGAACGGCATTTATTTCCACTTGCCTTCCCCCCTACCCCCCCCCCCCCCCCCAAAGGCCACTCTTGGTAATATGACGGTGATTTTCGTGGTAATAATGTATTCACTTGACCACGTGGTTATCTGAGGACGACTGGGGTTAGGGGGAGGAGGGAGGGGGAGGGGGGAAGAGGGAGGGGGTGGAGGGGAAGAGGGAGAGGGAGGAAGGAGGGGGAAGAGGAAGGGGGGAGAGGAAGGGGAGGAGGGAGGGGGAGACTGAGGGGGAGGAAGGAGGGAGAAGAGAGGAGGGAGGGGGAGAGGGTTATAAAATAAGGATAGAAAGAGGAAAGGGAAAAGGGTGTTGTATGGAGTGGATATATGAGTGGCGAGAGATAAAATATATTTATAGACACGCACATATATATATATATATATATATATATATATATATATATATATATATATATATATATATATATGTATATATACATATATATATATATGTATATATATATGTATATATATATATATATATATATATATATATATATATATGTATATATATATATATATATATATATATATATATATATATATATATATATATATATATGTGTGTGTGTGTGTGTATAGATAATATATATATATGTATATATCTAATATATATATATACGATATATATATATATATATATATATCTATATTATATATAACATATATATATAATATAGATATATATATATATATATATATATATAATATATATATAAATATATATATATATATATGTATAATATATATATGTAATATAATATATATATATATAAATATGATAACTATATATCTATATATATATACCTATATATACACACAGGCAGAGGCGGAGAGAGACAAAGAGAGGAAGCGACAAAGAGAAAAGAAGAAAACAAAGAGAGACAGTCACCTTTTCCCATGTATACCTTTTCACGTATTATTTTTTTATCCCCAATAATGTATTTACGAGGGACGATCACCTATCGACCGGAGCGAACACGCGGCGGGATCGAGGGCTTAATTGTGCGCTCAGAACACGACACGCACGGGGGGTGGGGGGAGGAACGGCGGTGGGGAGGGGAGGGGAGGAAAGGGCGGGTGGGGGAGGGAAAAATGGATGGGAAGAGGAGGGAAATAGGAGGGGAAGGGGGAGGAGGGATAAAGAAAAGGGAAGGGAGATGGGGAAGGACCGAGAAGTAGGGAGGAGAAAGACGGAGATGGGGGGGGGGGGGGAGTAGGGAGGAAGGGAGAGAAAAGGGAGGAGAGGAAACGGTCCGGAAAAGGAGGGGAAACGAAAAGGAAAAAAAGGACACGGACTTTAGGGAAGAGGAAAAAGACGAAGAGGAGGAAACGAAGAGGAAATAAATGTAGGGAGAGGAGTGAGGGACGGAGCAGACCGTAAACCCACGGAGACGCCGATAAAATTAATTCACGGAAATTTGCAAACTTTGATGATAATAATTCTCACAAAAGAGGCAAATTCCGATGAAGAAATGTACAGAAATATTTCACAGCCAAGATAGGAAAATATTGAAATCAGTGAACAACGAACAACAATGATTGGTGATAACTACCCTGTCGATCAGGTTAAATTAATGATGATAATCGTTAAAATCATAATGATTATAGATCGAAAACAGAAAGTAAAGAAAGTAAAGAAAGTCCCGAATATTCTCACGATCATTATATCTGACAGTAAAATAAAATGCGGTAAATACGATGAAGCTAGCGGTAATGATAGTAAAAATATTCTGATAATGATAAAACAGTGACGGAGATAGCGGTGGTATAATGATATTGATAGTGATAATGGTGGTGATAATATTACAACCACTAATGATAATAACAAAAATGATGATGATAATGATTATGATAATAGTGATGATGATAATGATTATAATAATAATGATGATGATAATATTATTATTATTACTAATACTAATATTCATACTAATAATGATAATAATGATAACGATAATAATAATAGTAACAATAATAATAATAATAATAATAACAATACTACTACTACTACTACTACTAATGATGATAATGATAATAATAATAATAATGATAATAATAATAATAATAATAATAATAATAATAATAATAATAATAATAATAATAATGATAATATTGAAAATAATTATGAGGACAATAAAAAATGATAATGACAATAATAACAATAATAATAATGACGATGGAGATGACAATACTAATTTTAATAACAATAGCAACAATAAAGATAATGATAGTAATAATAATAATGATAATAATAATAATAAAAAAAAATAATAATAATGATAATAATAATGATAATGGTAATAAAAAAAATCATAATACTACTACTACTGCTAATGATAATAAAATTATAACAACAATAATGATAATAACAATGATAATAACAATTATAGTAGTAATTGTAATAATTATCAGTTGTAATAATGATAATTATAATAATAATAATTATAATATTGAAGATAATTATAATGATATTGATAATAATGATTATGATAATAAAGATAACAACAACAACAACGATAATAACAATAGAGGAAATAATGATAATGGTGATAATAAAGAGAATGATAATAATAACAATGATAATAATGATAATGATAAGAATGATAAGAATAGTAGTAGTAGTAATAATAATGATAAGTAATAATAACAATATTGATAATGATGATAATAAAAATGATAATAATAATAATAATAATAATAATGATAATAATAATAATAATAATAATAATAATAATAATAATAACAAGAGCAACGACAGCAAAAACAACAATAATGAAAAGAATGACAATAATAATAAAATCAAGAATAATAATAACAATAACTGTAAAGATAATGATAATAATAATAGCAGGAATAGAACTCGTAATAGTACTCATGATGAGGTTGATGATGATGATTATGATAATTATTATATAATGATACTGATAATACTAATAGGAATGATGATGATAATGATATTAATAATAATAATAACAACGATGGCGATAATTATGATAATAATAATGGTAATAATAACAATGATGATAATAGTAATTATTATAATAATATTAGTAATAACAACAATAATAATGATAACAACAACAACAACAACAACAACAACAACAATAATAATAATAATAATAATAATAATAATAATAATAATAATAATAATAATAATAATAATAGTAATAATAATAATAATAATAATGATAATAATAATAATAATAATAATGATAATGATAATGATAGTAATGTTAACAATAACATCGATAACACTAATACTATCAATGAATATGATACCAGCAACAGCAATCATGATAAAAACATGGCAAGAATAGAGATAATGATACTGCCATCGTTGCTGTTATTTCCCATTATATATATATATTTTAAATTATTATTATCGTTAAGAATATCTATAATAGATATAGAGCGCAGAGAACTTCCATGAGAATTATACTATTAAATTGACATTACTAATGGTAGATTTATCAAGGACCATGATAATTATAGCGAGATTAATTAACATAACCGGATAACCCGTAGGTAACGATGGTGATCATGATGGAAGCAAGAATAAGTTGTAAGGAAGATAATCATACGTGCAATCACTACCGTCATTTACTGTCAGAAATGTTACTATTAATGTGAGTGCTATTAGCTATATTACTATTATTTTCAAAATCTCAATTCTTCGCCGACTTCCTCAGATCTTACGAGAATAAACCTGAACCTGGAGTTTCCGTTAATGCCAACAAGAGAACATAGCCAGTGCAAAAACTGCTCCCATGCAACTGCAGCCACAGCGTACCTTTGTCTTCGCTGGAGGCAGCATCCTGGCCGGCGGAGGTGGAGAGGTCGGTCGAGTGGGAGGTGTCCTCGCGGTCGCTGTTGTCCATGTCGACCTCCTCCATGCTCATCTCCGAGCAGGGCGACGTCGACCTGCTCCTGCGCCCCGGTCCGGCGCCCTGCAGGAGGCGGCTGAAGCCCTCGGGCGAGGAGATGATGCCGTCCCTGGCGTCGTCCGCGTCGGCCGCCCCGCGGGACAGCGAGGACGCCGCGCTCCCTCCCCCGCCTCCGGGCGAAGGCTCGACGGAGGAGCTGACTTCGGGATGGATGACGGAGTCCTTGGAGAGGTCCATGGGCGAGGAGGCGTTGTACTTGAGCACGGACACGGGCCGGAAGCCCTGCAGGCTCGGCGAGTGGCGCAGGTCGGCGAGGGCGGCGCGGTGGTGGTCGGGGGGCGGGGAGCGGTGCAGGTCCGTCGGGGAGCGGTTCTCCATGCGCGTCAGGATGTCGGTGATGGAGAAGGGCGTCACGGAGGCTGTCGTCTGCGTCTGGCTGTCGGGAGATCCGGGCTTCTCCATCTTGACCAGAGTCTCCATGCTACTAAGACTGTCTCTTCTTCCCAAATGATAATAATCCCAACCAAAAATAATAAAAAGGGCAGTTCGTTTCAAAAAGAACCAAGGCAGAATGCAAAGGCAGCGCTGGCCGACCACTAAAACATTCGTTCAGAGGAAAATTTCATCGCCTGGCACTGTCCTGTCAAGTCATGGCCGCCGCCGCCGCCAGCCAGTGAGGGGAATATCGGAGGCGGGGATCCCTGTCCTCGCTCGCGGAAAATAATATACGCATAAGACTCCACACCGTCGGCGAAAAGGCAATCGAAAATAGTCTACTGAAGTTCCCGCACTACTCCAGGTCGAGGCACGAGAAGTACAGAGGGGCCAGGAAACCCGCCACAGCACGTGTGAGGACGCCCCTGCCTCTTCTCTCTCCTTCGCGCTCACTCACTCTTGGAAAGGCCCTCTCAAAGCGCTATGTGTTTCCCCTCAGTGACCGCGAGAGAGTGTGTGGAGGGCGAGGGACGTACGCTTGCTCCGGCGAGGGGAGAGAGGTAGGAGGGGATAGTGCCTGGGGGACTCTGCGGTCGAGACTATTTGTACTGTAATTGGTTCTGTCACTTGCTTCCCTCTATCTCTTTCCCAGATGCTACAGCTCCATTAGCCCCACGCGACCAACTTCAAAATTCATCAAGGCTTTCTGAGCACCCGCCGAGTAGCCAGGTTCGGTTTTGTGCTTTCGCATTTTGCTTGCGCTTTCTCGCTTTTATCCGTCGGGTGGACCATTTATATCTTTTTCTGGTGGAACTTTGTGGCGTTTGAGAATCGTAATTATTGTTATTTTATGCATAAAGTACGGAAACAAACAAGAGACCTGAAATCTAAAGAGTCTGGCATGGTAAATATGTTACAAGGGGCGGGCCTTAAGTCGACCAATCAGCGCACGAGTTTGGAAATGAGGGGAGAGGGTGGGCGGAGCTTCGGTTAGGGGCGAGGGGAGTTACCAATTAGTGCATAACTCATGGATTATAATCGGGTTTTACTTGACTCCATACCTGCCTTCGAAAACGCGCGCTCCGAACGTGGAAATAGATGGTATTTATGCTTGATATATCAGATACGAGTTTTTAGATAATGCTCCACTAAATAACAATGAAAGAGAGGTTAACATCGACCCCGAAGAAGGAACTGCCACGCGCTGAGAGAAAAGCCTCGTGGAAGAGACCGAATCGATTCTCAAAAGAAAAGTAAGCTTCTTGAACCGATTTGCAAGAGGCGAATCACGAAGGAGCGAAGAAGCGAAGGAGGAGGAGGAGGGTTAGGAGGAAAAGGGGACGAAGAGAGAAAAAGAAAAAAAAAACGAGAAAAAAAGGTGATAATTGTGATCATGTTTATCACGTTCTTCAGCCAAAGAAGAAAAAACGGGAAAATTCAACAGCTAGGGAGAGGAAATGAATCAGTCAAAATGAGGGGAAATCGTCAAAAGAGAATGAGCCGTTTATTGTTATAAGCCGATATAAAAAAAAGTCGTGACAAGCCATTCTCTCTCCCTCTTTCTTTCTCTCTCTCTTTCTCTCTCTCTCTCTCTCTCTCTCTCTCTCTCTCTCTCTCTCTCTCTCTCTCTCTCTCTCTCTCTCTCTCTCTCTCTCTCTCTCTCCCACTCTTAATTCCTCCTTTTCTCCCTTCTTCCTTCTCTCTCTCTCTCCGTCCCCCTCTAACTTCCCTCTTTCCAAACCTACCTCCCCTCTCTCCCTCTCTTAATCCCTCCTTTCCTCCCTCCTTCTCTCTCCTTCCCTTCCCATACACCCTTCTCCTCCCCCTCTCTCTCTCCTCCCCTCTTTCTATCCTCCCCCCCTCTCTCTTCTCCTCTCTTTCTCCCCTCGGCTCTCTCTCTATCTCCTCCTCTCTCTCTCTCCTCCCCTCTCCCATACACCCTTCTCCTCCCCCTCTCTATCTCCTCCCCTCTCCCTCTCCTCCCCCTTTCCCTCTCCTCCCCTCTCTCTCTTTCCTTCCCCCCCTCTCTCCTCCCCTCTCTCTCTCTCCTCCCCTCTCTCTCTCCTCCCCTTTCTCTCTCCTCTCCTCTCCCTCTCCTCCCCTCTCTCTCTCCTTCCCTCCCCCATACCTCTTTCTCCTCCCTCTCTCTCTCCTCCCCTCTCTCTCTCCTCCCCTCTCTCTCTCTCCGCAGATGCACTACCGCAAATGACTTCCGCCCGAGCGCTGCCGCCGCGCATGAAAACCGCCCATTTAATACCACTGGCTCGATCCGTTTGCAATTAACCTCAGCCGCGGAAGCACAGCTACGAGCGCAATGTTGCAAAAAAGAGAGAGAGAGGGGAAAATCAGGGAAAGATTTTGACTTCATTATTCGCGTTATTATTGATATTATTATTGTTATCATTATTATTATTGTTAATATTATTATTATTGGTATTTTTATTATTATTATTATTATTATTATTATTATTATTATTATCATTATTTTTATTACCATTACTATTGATATTATTATCACTATTATTATTATTATCATTATTGTTATTATCATTATTATTGTTACTCTTATTATCATTATTACTATCATTATTATTATTACAATTATTGATGTTAGTACTACTGCTATTACTATTACTCTCATCATTAACATTTATATTTATATCAATATCACTATTATTATCAGTACTATTAACATCATTAATGATATCCTTACTATTATCATTACAATTATCATTATTATTGTTAATATTATTATCATTATTATTATTATTGTTAATTTTATTATTTTACTGTTTTTTTTCAATAAGAGAATCGGTATTTGATTTGTTCTTCGAATTTATTCTCCGGATGATCGGATACCGAATAGTATGATCGGTTTTGGTGTTTCGCTTATTTCTTTTACTATTTTCTTTTTTTTTTGGTCGTTTTTTCAATCTGTTCTTTCCTCTTTCTTTTGAATGTATTAATTTTTTGTGTGCGTATATAGGTAATGGTATGTGCGTTTGTGTGTGTGTGTGTGCGTAAGTTTGCTTTATTTTACATTTTCTCTCTCTCTCTCTCTTGCTTTCTCGCTCCCTTTCTAACAAAGAATAGTTACAAAAAGAAAGGAAAAACG